TATATATATATATATATAGTTTTTTACTGCCAACTACTTATAGTGATTCTAAATATATTCTTTTTAAAAGTAGTTACTATAAAAATTAATGATTTAATCATGATAAATTATAATTAGGTAAGAATGAATAAAATATTTATACTATTAATTTGTTTTAATTAACTTTTTATATATAACTAGGACAGGTGCAACGGTGTGCTAGCTTAATAGGTAATTTATCGTGCACTATAATGCTACCATGTGTTAAATTAATCTTGTATGTACAAAGACATTACTAGAAAAGTGTCATTTTCATGTGAATTTTCTTACAAAAAAGTATTTGTAAAATTTATTTGCAAATTTTCTTGTATTAATAATTTTGCAAAATTTTTTTACGAATTTATTTACGAAAAATAATTTACAGATATTTCTTACAAATATTTTTACAAAAAATAATTTACAAGAATTTTTTGCAAATTTTGCTACAATTTTAATGATCATAGAAATTTTTTTCCATGGTGAAAATTTGCAAAAAATATTGTAAGAATTTTATTTTTTTTATTGCAGATTTTCTTGCAAAAATAAATTCGCAAGTAATGTTTACTAAATAGTAGAAAAATTTTGCACGTAACTTTTCCTGCAGATTTTCCTGCCAATTTTAATCCGCATGAAAAATTAAAAAAATATTTAAATTTATAAGTTTAATATTTTAAAAAAACTTCAAGTCCCACATCGATTGAAAATAAAACAATTAAAGAGTATATAAGTTAAGACAACACTTACCTTACAAGTTGATTTGTATGGCGAGTGTTAGGCTTATAATCTACAATTTTAAAATTTAAAAGATTATGTATCACATGTTGGAGGCATGAAAACAAATGCTTCGGATGAATTCATTGTGAGCATAAAATATTATTAGTTGCAGGAAACTTTCTTGCGAATTTTTTTGCAAGAAATTTCTTGCAAATTTTAAAATTTGAAAAAATATATTATTTACGAAAGTATTATTTGCAGAAAAATTTGTCAGAACAACATTTCTTGCAAATTTTTCATAAAAATTCAAAAAAAATCACATGTAATAAGAGAAATTCTAGTAATGTGATAGCATGTAGTTCATATGCTATATTTATTTTTCTCTCGCATTTGATCACTTTTCCATTATTTCTCTTCTTTATTTGCTTCTCTCTCACTCACTTGGTTTGTGCTACATGTTAAAATATAAACAAGTCTCACATCGATAAAATAAAATAATAAATAACAACTTATATAATACAAACATACTTTAATGATAGAGAGGCCTATTGGGTGATGACTAAAAACAAAACCGTGAGAACTTAGTCCCAAAGCGGACAATAACTCATCATTGTAGAATATGTTTGTATAATAACCTTATAAAAATAACACCTTCATAAAATATCTCTCTCAAACAAATATCATAAAAATAACTCAACAATACACAATATTCATTTCTTTGTAAATTAGTCTTATTAATTTCTTAACCGACAAAATATTAATCAGACAAGCTATTCAGGTTTCGATATTAACGTCATTACCTACATTTTGGTGATTTCCGAGTTGCCACCACCTACCATCGAGGACATACAACAACTTTGATAGATGCATCAATGGTGGAACTTCAACTCCTACTTTGACGACCCTCTTCATGTAATGGCTTCACACAAATTGCTAAAGTGAATATATATATATATATATATATATATATTAATTTTTCTATATATATATTTATTTATTTACATAAAAACTATCAGATAAGTGGCAGGGGATCCCCTCTTAATGAAACAAGAAAAAGCCTGAAAATAAAATAAAAGAAGTTAACGGAGGGGAGGTGTATTTAGGGGAGGAAGATTGAAAAAAAGAAACTGAAAGAGAATAGAAGGTAGAAGGAAGAGAGAAACAAAAGATAGCCATGGATAGAGACGGAAAAAAATCTAACGTAAGAGTTGCATAGTATGGTTATGTACATAAACTTAATCTACTAACTTAAAATATTAGTGTAGGGTATGTTACTTATTATTAAATTAGTCGACTGTATTACTTGTCTAAGACTATCTATTTAATGAATTCATTTAAAATAAGTTGATCATGTAAGAATTTTTTTTACTATTATTTAATGAGTTAATTATCTATACACTGTCAGTGTAAAGTTTTTTTACACTGATAACTAATTATATTTTTTAGTTGTGTCATGTCACTGTTAAAAATAAATGTGTTTACAATGACATGACACAATTAAAAGATATAATTGGTTGTCAGTGTAAAAAAACTTTACACTGACAGTATATAAGTGATTAACTCTTATTTAATTATTGATAATATATAAGTTAAAGTTATTAACTTTTGAAATAATTATTATTAGTTAATAATATAAAATTCTTTAATTTGATTATATCAATTGAATCTAATATTTTGTTACCAATATTCTAATTAATCTCAAAATAATAACAAAATATTAATAAGTTATTAATTTGAATAATACTAGACAAAATTCCTTTTTAAATAAGACTTTAAATTTGAGTCTTACAATTAAAAAAAAACGTTGAGAGATTTTTTTTATTAAAAATAATTAATTAAATTTTAAAAAAATTAGCTATTAAATGAATATTACCAATAACACAATTATATTTGAAAACATAGTCTTTTTTACTTTTATATATGCATTTATAGAATGCCCGTTGTTTTTATTTTAATGTTATATGGATTTTTTTATATATGAAAAATGATTTTCGATAACTTAAAAAAATTATGAATTTGTATGTTTATTTTTTACTTAAAAAACATTTTTAAAAATAAAATAAGCACTTTTTATGTGTTTGTTTATTTTTTAAAATAAGCAATTTTTTTAAAACTTTTTTTAAAAAACAACTTTTATCTATTTTTAAAAAATAAATTTTTAAATATTTGTATAAAAACACTTATTTTTAAGTCTAAATAAAAAAACCTATATGTATGGTTTTCTATTTCTTGAAATAGACATTTTAAAAAAATACTACTATAAATACTCAACTGTAATCTCATTGATAAATAAAAAATAAAAATACTCAACCGTAATAGATAAATTACTTCTCTTTTTTTCTATCATTATGATGGGAGCAAGTGGTCAAGAGTCCAATACCCAGTAGTTATTTCTGACTTTCAGGCGAACCAAAATCACATGCTACAACTCAATGGGACTGTCAAATAAATATAATAAGCTTTTATTAGTTAGAAGAAGTATTCAATGAAAGACACTTTTCTTAAAAAAAAATTAGCATATTAAATATTATATTTATATAAAATATCTTTTTTATATTTTAATCTATTAATCAGTACTTTAAAAATATTTCTTAATAAGACTTTAATTTTCAATGTAATTGTTAACATATTGAAGATTTTAGATAATTTGACTTTTCGTTCAACTTATTTTATTTCCAAATGCTTAATCACTAGTGTATTTTCGTTGACATTTGATATTTTTCCTTTTATGTCATTATCGATGTCGATACCTGGTTATCCACAAAATTGCTTAGGATATATCTTTTACCAATTATGTTTCGAAAAGAAAATCGTGAAGAACAAAGTTATTATTTTTAAGGCTAAATTGCATAAAGAAAATACGAAACAACAAAATTATTATTTTTAAAATTAAACTATATTTTTATTTTCTATAATATCAAATTCATAATTTTAATATCTATTTTTAAATTCTTAATTTTAATCTTATTATTGAATATTTTTTCATTACATAATCATGATATGATATTAAGTAAATTACATGACAATTAATATTTAACAATATTCAAGCTAAATTTATTTTTAGTTCTAATTTTAATATAATAAAAAGAGATAAAAATAAGATAAGAAGTCATTTACTTAAAGTTGAAGTGCGACTAATATTATAAATTTAACTATTAATAGATGGACATTTGATATGTGAATCAAAATTATGAATTTTATGAGATCAGAGGATTAAAATTATATAATTTAAAATAAAGAGATTAAAATTGTAAATTTAATATTACAGAAAAAGTAAGAGGCCAATTTATCCTATTTTTAGTTTTTCTTTTAAAGAATATAAATATTTTTAGTTAATTCACAATAAAAATAGATTGAAAAAAATTTAATACATTAATTAATAATTATTTTAATAAGTATCAGATAATATAATTTTTTCTAAAACATAACAATCCAAACATTTATTTATCTAGTTGGAACACGTGTTCGCACGTAGTGAGTAGGTTTGCGCCATTTGGCAAGCTTAGAATAAGAAGGTGAATGAACACAAATAAAGAAGGTTGTGTGATAGAATAGGAAGAGGTGTGTAAATCACGAAAGGAGCCTAGGTTGTTGCATCTTATGTAGTTTTTTTCCCATTCATTTGGTTCGTTTTTTAAGGTTGACGTGTCCAAGTGTTGCGGATTAGGAAGACCCGCTCCTCGTTCAGAATTTTGGCTTGGTTTGACCACCCAAACATTTCTCACGTAACATTCCATTTGGAGAAGAGAGAGAACACAAATCCAAAGACAAAGACCCAAACAAACACTATTTTCACTTTCACGCTTTCCCATTCTTTTCCTTTGTTTGTTTTTTCCCTCCAACACCTCTTAAGACCCTCTCTCTCTCTTCACACTTTTCTTGCCTTTGGTTGATTTCAGAGCCAGGTCCGGGGCAATGCTGATTCAAATAAAAGTTGTCTTGTCTTGTTTATTTTTATTTTTATTTAATTGTTTGACACTTTTTTTTTTGCTGTTTATGTTTGTAATAAATTAATAATCATTGAGCTGCATTGCCATTTTGATGAACATGGATGCAGGGTTTGGTCAATTGAATGTGGTGATTTCTGCTGGGTGAGTATCTTCGATATTCTTCTGTGATTTTGGGATCACAGATATGACAAACACAAGTGCAGAATTGTCTCAGGTGAGAACAAGCTTCTTTTGTTTATTTACCGCCATTAATATTTAATGCACAAATTTCTTTGCTGCAAATTTTTAACACGAGTTCTGAATTAATTAAAGAATGAGGATCACGGTGACTTCTGGATACATAGGTGTCATTGTATATATGTGAATGGATAGAGGAAAAAGTCATGTAATTATGTGTATTTATTTTGTAGGGAATTGGAGGTGTTTCTCTTCCCCACTCTAATTCCCAGTCTGCGTCACAAGAGCATAATCAGCGTTCTCATGGTGGTAACGGCAATATGGTAATTGTTGTTCTTTGCAAACATGGGATTTTGTCTGAATTTGGATCAACCGGATTATTTTCTGCTTAAATTGAATATGGTTGTGGCATTATCGCAACGGTAAAAATTTCCCCATGTTGAATCTTTGCATGGATGGACATAACTCTTTTGGTGGCAATCATATTCTCAAGAATTTTATTTTATCACAGTTTAAGCATATTGTAATTGAGCTTACCCAGATGATGGAAGGCATGCAAATTGGAAAAAGAAAATCATCACCATTAAATTTAGCTAGCTTGAGCCTTGAAGTGAATAAAGTTAACATGTCCCTCTGTTTAATTTCCTGTAATTTCATATGTTGCAGATTTTCAAGAGTGGACCACTTTTCATATCTTCCAAAGGTGTGTTTTGCTCCACTAGTTTCCATATTTTCTTCTAAGCAACTGAACATTTATGTAATTTGTAGCAGCCATTAAGGGCAGATCTGGTGTCTTTTCTTCTGCGGTATAAATAATAGTCCTAAGTCCTAGCCTAAATTTTAAAGCCAAAGACAGGACACAAATGAGAGCAATAGACTGATATTTTTATTTCCCTTTTACAGAAAAAATTACTGTCTTCTCATGTATTTTGCATCTTTGCAAACCTCTCTTCCATTATGAAAACCTATAGAAATCTCTTATATTTATAAAATACACCAACTCCAAAATACCATTCCTACTGACTTATCAAATCCAACCATATTAGCTCATGGATCTTTTGTGGCAATGTCATTTGTACTTCTGTTCAGCTTTATATGCTGAGGAATACGAAACAATGCATTCATTTGGGGCAAATTAATTAACGATTCACTTCAAGCCAGATCATTTGAATTGCATGCACGTGTTACATTTATCAACATATAAGGTTGAAAATGAATAGGAAAGGCATTTGACCTAAAAACACCATTGAGTAAATGGCCTAGTTAACAATTTTGGTAGGCTTTAAAACATTTGGGATTTAGTTGTAGCATATTTTATCAAAACAATGGAGTTTTATATAGGTTTTCATAATATAGGGGAGATCTGTATAGTAAATGTAGGGGGATATAAATTTATTCAAGAAAAAAAAAAGGATCTAAATACCAAGAATTGATGACAACTTTGTAACGCCGGATCTTTGAAGTATATAGTTAGAAAAGAAAGCTCTGATGTGAACCAATACGTATGAGGAAGTAAATATGCTACAACATCCGTAATTTTTTTAGGCGTTCTACAGTCAGTATTGGCATTCTTTATCTTTGCTGGTTCTTCTTTTAATCCTTCAAAAAAAAAATTGTCATATTTTTTTTACAATATGTATAATGCTGGAATGCAACTAGATTTCTACCCTTGCAGAAAGTCTGAGGAGTTTGTGAAGTCATTATTACTGCATAATTTGTATTTATTGATGTGTAGGAATTGGATGGACATCCTGGAAGAAAAGGTGGTTTATTTTAACACAAACTTCACTTGTTTTCTTCAGAAGTGATCCAGTAAGTAAATTTTTTTTTTTTCCAGCATCTACTTTGTTCGCGTTCACCTGTGTTTTTCTATATTGTGTAAGCATTTAACCAGTGTTTTCTTATACCCTTCCTCCTTCAAAAACTAAAAAAATAAATAATGAAAACCTTAAGTAGTTAAGTGCTTAAGCGAAAATATATCTGCTGAAGAAGTGTTGGGTTTAGCTTTTCAAGTTTTAGTTACTTTGGTTAAAACTTAAAATAATGTTTTTTTTGACAGAAAAGTAATGTTAATAGATGGTGGATGTAAATTTATTTTTGTTTGTGAGTATTTGTAATTATATCTAATAACAAAATTATCACTAGCTTTTAGGAGTCATAACCTTTTTCAATTATTTACTAAGGAAGATGACACAGTCATATATATATATATATATATATATATTTATGGATATGTGGTATCTTCCGCTTATAGTATACTGGACTTTCTATTTAATTTTTGTAATATTGAAAAATATTTTTATTTTTATTTTTTTATAACTCATGCATTTAAAAAAAAAAAAAGCAAAATATTCACATATTTTTTTTATTAAATTTATATTTGATTTTTATGTTAGCATTAATAATTTATAGTATATATAAATATAAATTTTTTAATCTTAATATTAATAATACATAGTATTGTAAAATGCTTAACTTTTTTAATAATTTATTATTATTATTATTATTATTATTATTATTATTTTAAACTTATAATAATTACTTGAGTTTTGAATAGTGATTTTGTGTTGAATTATGATCGCATAATTAATGTTGTGGCGAGACATGTTACTAATTTAATGAATGTGAGCTTAATTGAATTTGATTTAATTTATTTTTATTTAAAAATGAATATATATTTTTTAAAATGGTTATTTATTTTTATTAATTTATTGAAATATTTTTATAATATAAGTAATAATTTAACAATCATATTTCTAATTTTTGAGTTATTATGCAAACTCTGTTTTTTTTAGAGTACCTTTTTAATTCAAAATGTAAAAAATCAATTTATTACAAAATAATTAGGATTATTTAGTATTAAAACAACGATTTTTTTTTAACATGAGAAGTTATGTGAACAATTAAAAATATATAAAAGTATTAAATGTTTATTTATTATCTGTTTTATAATGATTTATTTTAAACTTATAAAAATATTTTATTAATATAAAAAATCATATATTATCATAGCACTTTATATTTTAGAATTTAGACTATCATTTTTTTTTATCTACGGGAATTCAACTTAATATTAAAGAAATTTACAACACTCACCCACCCTTCCCAATTGAGGTATATCCCATTGGTATTTTAGACCATCACATTATTACAGTGGTACTTTTTTTTATTAATTCATTCGTTCATACATTTTAATTTTATTAGAATTGTTTACATTATTTTTGTTACTATTTTAACTTTACAATTACTTATTGTTTATGTTCAAAAATTATTATTTGTATTATTATTATTATCATCATCATCATCATCATTTTAATTTTATATTAATTATTATTTTTTTCAGCATGATATTAATATTGCTATTATTTAATTATATTTTAATTATATATATATAAATAGTGTATCAGTTCACCATAGTCTTTATAATTATATACATAATATTTATAATAATATTTTTATACTTATAATAATATATTTAGTATTTATAATAATATATATAATATTTCTAAGAAATAGATATATAGATATAAATGGTACAGTTGTAATAATACTTTAGAGAATCACCATTCTTGAATCTACCTAAAATTAGGCAAAATTGTGGCTAACTTTTTTTCCTAACAGGGTATGAAGCACTATTCCACTGTTAATTGTCCTTGTTTGATTAGAAATAAATCATAATAGGATTGTCTTGGGGTTGAGGTTGATGCTAATTGTGAGGACAATAATACTGATTGATAAGAACTAGAAATGCTAAACAGAATGTTAATTAACTGTGTTTAAGGCTTGACTTTCCAGCTTCCTTGCTTTATCATTTTTTATGTAGGGTGATGTAATTTTTCTTTTACTATACAATAATTTGTTATCTAAAGAGAGACTTCGAACATTGGTACATTGCAAAGATTAGATTCTTTATATCCTTACATCAGAACAGTTTTAGGCGAGCTATGTGAAATAAAAGAAATCTTGTCAACACACACCCATATGCAAGTCTAACATGTTTACTTCGTTATGTTTGCAAACTTATTATCATATATCTTTATCATTATGTTTTTTGCCTTACAGAACGCTGTCCCTCAGAGGGGAAATGAAGTGAATTTGACCCTTGGTGGCATTGACCTCAACAATTCAGGCAGGTTGGCTTGTTTTCCACAACTACACATTATTATCATTCTGTTTATCTTCATATTGTCAAGATAGTAGGATTGTAAATTTTCATAACCTCTTGTAACTTTTCTCGTTAAATTTTGTAGTGTTGTTATCAAACCAGATAAGAAACTTTTGACTGTACAATTTCCTGATGTTCATGACGGACGAGCTTTCACACTTAAGGTGCTTTATTTTTCTTTCAGGAGATGTGTTTTTTTTCATTAAAAAGATATTAGAATATTTTTCCGTTGCAGCTACCAAACAAATTGTTTATACAATGCTTTGATCGTGGTTGCTTTATCTTTTTTTTTTTTTTTTTTTAAAGATTTTATGTTCTCTATCTGAGTATCTGTATGATATATATGTATGCTCATCGGTGCAGCACATATGATAGGTATAGACAAAGAATGTAGAATGTAGAGAAATTTATCTGCTGCTAACATGTCATTTCATTGTTGGTGCTGTAGGCTGAAACTACGGAGGATTTATATGAGTGGAAGACTGCACTTGAGAATGCTTTGCAACTGGCACCTAGTGCTGTCAATGTGACGGAGCAAAATGGTATCTCCAGGAACGATCAGACTGATTCAATTGATATTTCTTTGGACCAGTGTATGCTCTTGTTATAATTGTGCTTTACATATGTCATTTGACCACAGTTCGTACCCTGTGGTTCATACAATACGAATGTTGTTTATGATCTATATATAGTGGTTCCATAAACAATTTAATTGTCATCATGTAAATATTTATTCAAACAACCATTGTTATGGTTGGTTGTCTAATTTGATCTTTGATATGAACATTACATATTCATCTGTATAGTGATAGTGGTAATGGTGTTCATTTTGTATCATCTGATTGATTACCTGTTCTGTACATTTGGATTGTTTCTGGAATATGTTAAACTTTTTTTTTTCCCTGATTCGAAGTTATGACATTTTAGACTACCTCAGGCATGAATGTTTATGTGACGATACTTGTGCTTAATGCTGTAAAAGACTATAACTTATTCTTTCCTTTGATATGATTTTTTCTGAACTTCTATAGTGAAGGATAGAGAACCAGTTAAATCTACTGTCATTGGCCGGCCAATTTTACTTGCTTTGGAGGATGTTGATGGAACTCCTTCATTTTTGGAGAAAGCCCTAAAGTTCATAGAAGAGCATGGTTGGTTTTCTTTTTCTCTTTCTCTCTCTTTGTATGTATGTATGGGAAGTTGATTAGGTGACAGCTTAGAAGTAAAAGGAGTTAATCCTAACTAGTTACTATACAATCTTACATGTATAATCGAGCTTAACTACTCTTACATCTCTCAGGATCTCATTTAATAGACTTCCTTTATATATAAAGTGAGGTATAACTGTTTTCTAAAGTGGTTGTTCTCATGCATCAGAGAATTTTATAAATGCATGCTTGATGCATCATAAGAGGCATTTTATGCCAATTGCAAAGCTGATGGATGTAATTAACTTGGACTTTGGCTCTTTATTTTGTATAAAAGATTTACCTCATCGGGCACATTTAATGCATAGGTGTTTCTTATTAATGAAGAAAAGAAAAATGCAATGTGAGCGTAACCTTGTCAATAAGAATTGGGGAAAAAAGTACAAGGCCTAAGGGTTTCAAATTATACCATCCATGACCTTCTCATCGTGTTTTGTTTCTTGTTTTGGGTGGAAAGGGGAGGTGAGAGGGAGCAAGCAGTGAATATACATTAGTTTCTTTGAGCCAATACCAAGTCAGAATGGCCATTTTGGTATTGCTAGACTGTTGATGTGTTTCATATGAATCTAATAAATATTGTAAAATAGGAGCCAATGTGGAAGGGATATTGCGACAAGCAGCTGATGTTGATGAGGTTGAACGTCGAGTTCGAGAATATGAACAAGGTTTGTGCTTCTTTTCCTAGTTAATCTTCAAATTCTATGTTGCTGTCTGGATACATCTTCCTTTACTTGTTGGTTTGTCCTTCCTTCCATTTTGTTTATATTATGCACTAAAGATAGTTCTCACATGTCTAGCCATTAGGAGCTTCTACGATATTTCAGGCTTTTCCATACAAGTAGTCTTAGAAATATGTTGAGTGCTGTTTGTCAAAGAGAATTCTTTGTCATTTATTTGGATTTAACGGAATTTCCTTAAATATTTGCATAAGCATTTGATATGCCATGGGTCATTCTTTCCATCAGAATACTATGGGTGAAGAATATGAAGTTTGCAGTTTTCCGTTTGCAGGCACTTTGTTCCTTTCCCTTTTTTTTGGTCAAAATTGCTTATCAAATCTTATGCTCTTGGGCATGCCATGTGGTTGCAGGGAAAGTTGAGTTTTCTCCAGATGAGGATGCACATGTTGTTGGTGATTGTATTAAGGTACTTTCATGGTAAACCAAAGTGTTGATTCCTTTATCTGGTCATACATGATTTTTATTTCTTATTTCTATAAATTTTCAGCATGTACTTCGTGAATTGCCATCTTCTCCAGTCCCGGCATCTTGTTGTAAGGCACTGTTAGAATCTTGCCGTAAGTGTCATTTTAGACTTTCCTTCATTTTAGTCTGCCCATTATCTATGTCTTATTTTTTAAGTTTATTTTCCGTGATTGTTGTCAATGAAAAATTTTTCCATTGAAGTTTAGATATATGAATTGACACAAAAGCTTACAATTTTAATGGAAAGTTTTATACTTTTTTAAATTTGTTCAAAAGGAGCAATAAGAAGATCTTCTACTAAAGTTGAATATATGATTGTGAATTGTGACAAGTTACAACTATTGTTCCAAATGGAAAGCTTGATATTTTTTGGAGAACTTGTTGAAAAGAAGCAATAGTGTATTTTACAAAATTGACTTTTCACTTGCTAGAAAAACCGTGGAATAAGAAGATTCAGATTTTCAACATTTACTTTTGTTCTGAAAGATTTCATAAGAATCTGAAACATGAATGGCTATAGTTAACACTGGTTGTTAGAACTCATGCTATGTTTCTGATTGATATTTGGTTTAACTTTGCATGAAACGGAAAAGTTAGGTTTGCTATTTTCTAATTGTCAGTAAAGAATAGTCATACCCAGAATAAACAGTAATCCCCTTCTGCAGCCTTGCAATGCTACCTTCTGATTTATGTTGTGTGCTACTAACGTATAGGTTACCATGTCTTCTCACAACTGTACCCTTTATTCTTTTTGGACTTCCAAAAATTATTATCCTATACATTTGGACACTTTTCTGTTTGGCTTTCTGCCCATCTTACTACCTAGCCTTGATCTATGTTTACTTCCTCATTTTGAGGAAATCTAATGTCTGAATAAGTTGTTGACCAAACTCCAAACATCCTGGATATTTTCTCAAAAGAACTAATTGTCTGAACCTGATTTTAGCAAATACTGATACCTGATATGTGTGATTGGAAGATAAAAGATGAATATAATATTGAAATAAATTTTTTTGCCAAACTTAATATTTGAGTCTGCATATTTCAAACCTCCTGATTCTTTCCATGCTGACCACTGTTTGAGGCTATGATTGAAAGGGACAATGAAATATTTTGTTTACAAATATTTTTCAATTTATATAAATCTCTCATGAAGTTTAATCTTATTTCATTGTTTGGGATTGCCACAATAATTAGGAACTGAGCGGTGTAGTAGGGTTGCTGCTATGCGCGCAGCAATAAATGACACTTTTCCTGAACCAAATCGTCGCTTATTACAAAGGTATTTGATTGATAACTTTCTTTTTTCTCACTCTTT